TGGGGCTCTGGCCGCAGAGAGGACGCCTCCAGTTTCTGGGAGCAAAGCCCTGGGAAGTAGACAGTTTTCCCAGGAAAGGCCCGTGTGTAAAACTTCCTACCCGGTCCTCGTCCCGGGAAAATGAGCCGATCAGTTCTCTTGGGCCACTGGCTCCCCCCTGCGGAGTCTGAGAGCTGCCCCTGCTAAGCTGGCCAGTGGCACACGGGGACCAGGCCGGGGAAAGAGGACGGCCAGGGGCTCATGCCCACCAACCCAGAACCCGTGAGAGCTGTGGTCCGGCCAGGCTCACGCCACCACCAACCCTGAACCCGTGAGGACTGCGGTCCGGCCAGGCTCACGCCACCACCAACCCTGAACCCGTGAGGACTGCGGTCCGTGTCAAAGGAGACTGCAGATGGGACTGTCCTGGCCCGCCCGGGGGTGGGGTGAGGACCCTGGAGGTGTTGCCGAGGATGCAGTGATTAACATTATTAAATAGACGAGATGAATAATGTACTGACTGCATGACTGTTCACGCATTACCCAATGCCGGGCTGAAGGGGCCCCAGGGATCACTGAACACGCCCTCCCTCCATTTTCCAAGGGGGCCGTGTTTGGATGAGATCCCCTCCCGCATCCCTTTAAGCTCTACCTGTAACTTCCTCACGTACAAAGCAATGGCAGCGCCCTGTGGGGCCCATCAGCTCCTCGTGAAAAGAGATGAGAAGGAACTCGATTGCTACTTGATGCTCAATCCCCCTCAGATACAGAAAGGGAGCCACCGTCGTTGGCGGGCGGTTTTGGGGTGTTCATCGACCCCCTGAGGGCTATCTGTCCACAGCTCTAGAGCAGGAAAGAACCCCCCTTTAGAGAAACAGGTGTGAGGGGTGCAGGCAGTTCACCTGCTTCAGGGAGAAATGGTCGTGACTGCTGGAGGCCGCAGCTGTGAGCCCCCCTGCACACGGAGGGGTGCCCACGCTCCCCTCTCCTCCCCACCCCGCGCCCCTCTCACGCAGGGGCTGGGCGCGTGCATCCTTTGGAAAACGATACCCCAAGGAAAGGACGTGCCTTGGTGACAGTGACCGGACTGAACACACTGTCTCGGAAGGTGCTTACAGGCGGCAGATGACAGACGCAAGGGCTCTGAGCCGTCGGCGGTCCCGGCCCGAGGAGAGCAGCTCCCTTTCTGTGTCTGTGCTTCCAGTGATGCTAATAAAAACGTGTTGTTTTTGGAAACACAACACCAATACTTTGTGGGGTTTTTTTTTCCATTAAAATAAACCCAAAGACACAAAACCAATTCCTCTAAATTGCTAACAAGGGAAGGATTGGCAAGGGCATTTCAGAAAGGTGTCACAGGTAAGACAATCAGCAAAGCAGACGGCACTAACTTCGGTATTTTAAGACCACGAAGTGGAGGAGACGTCGCGTGGTTAGGAAAGGCTCATTCGCGGGAATGGGGACAGTTAGGCAGTCGGGCTCCAGAGGACTCGGAGCGAACACATAAAGAGAAGGACGCACGGACGGAAAAGGAGTGACATTGTTCATAGCGACTGGAACGGGGAGTTTTCTCATACAGGGAAGCGTCGAGAAGAAGTAACCCCACAAATATAGTCAAGAAACATCTGCACGCCCCTCAAAAGAGGATCTGCACCCCGACCGCCCGGCCCCCTTCCCAGCCAGGCAGCTGAGCCGGCAGCAGTGCTGACCTTCGGCAGTGCCTGCCCTGCCGGCGGGCCGGTCCTCACCTGGGATGTTGTGGATGGTGATGGCCAAGATGAGCAGCGTGATCCTCCTCCAGCTGCTGCCGCTGGGCGGGGCCGAGGTCCCCGGAGCAGACGCAGGGACGGTGGGGCCCTCAGGCTGGTCGGGGGCCGCCGCCCTCTTCCTCTGGTATGCCTCCCCATTCTCGCTCTTATCTGCAGAAAGTGAGAGACAGGAAGAGAGAGGACTGTGAACAGGAGAAGTACTTCGGACGTGGGCAAGCGGCGGCAGGAGGAGGCTTTCAGATGGGGACAGAGCTGCTTCCTAACTTGCTGATGGACCGTGCGTGCTCCTGCGTGTTCCTTCATGTCCTCATCCCTTCTCTCCTCACGCACGCACTCATCCACTCATACATCCTGCAAACACTCACTGAGCGGGCATTCGGGGCCCAATGGAAAGGCATTAAAACGGGGAAAGAAGATGAAAACAGGGTACGCTGGCCATGCCCACTTTAGGGAAGCAACGCTGAGCAAGGGTGAGAACAGAGCAGGGGTGAGAACGGAGCAGGGGTGAGAACAGAGCAGGGGTGAGAACGGAGCAGGAGCGAGAACTGAGTAGGGGGAAGAACAGAGCAGGGGCGAGGACGGGCAGGGGTGAGAAGTGCAGATTCTGGAACCAGACTGCGGCCCGCAAGCTGCTAAGCCTCTTTGTGCCTCGGTTTCCTGATTCACGAGGCGGAATAACAGTACCTGCTGCTTCGGGCTTTTGCGAGGATCAACAGAGAGGCTGCATGAAAACCCCGAGGCTGTCCTAAGCGTTGTGTGTGGGGACGTGGTGGCTGTCACACGCCCCCTCGCCCACAGCCCACAGAGCTCGACCCATGACTCTCCTGGGGACCCATTCAAGTGTGTGTGTGTGTGTGTGTGTGTGTGTGTGTGTGTGTGAGCGTCTGAGCGCCACTCGGTCCCAGCTTTCCTGCCTCAGATGTCAGGCAGCCCCAGTGCATGTTTGCACGTGGGTGGGTATCTGTGCACACCTGGGGTGGGGGGTGCTGTTGTACATTCTCACAATATCTAACGACTCAGGCTGTAGAGGCTGGATGGGAAATTGAACTATGTATCTGGGATTTTAAAAAATATATTTTTATTGATTACAGAGAGGAAGAGAGAGGGAGAAAGAGAAACATCAACGATAAGAGAGAATCATTGAGCAGCTGCCTCCTGCTCGCCCCCTACTGGGGATCGAGCACACAAACCCGGGCACGTTCCCTAACTGGGAATGGAACTGTGACCTCCTGATTCATAGGTCAACGTTCAACCACTGAGCCACCCCGGCTGGGCTACCTGTCTGGGATGTTGAGCCCATGAACACGAACGACACAAGCAGAGCAGACCAGCGTGCAGGCAGGCAGCAGGCCGCCCCCATGCCCCGGGGACTAGCCAGCGGACACCATCATTCCCCGGGCCTCCTCCGAGCGTGGGAGGTGACAGGGAAGAAAAAAACAGCCCCCAAACCCAAACTCTTCTCTTTAGAATTTTATAACTTAAGGGATGAGAGGAGGGAAGACATGAGCAAATTCCTTAAAATCCAAGCGGCAGGTCTGCGTCTCTAACGAGCACTGGAGACTGCTTATTGCTGTGAGTGACCCTGAGGACCGGACGCTGGATCTCCTGCAATAACACGCGAGAGCCACAGGGCGTGACAGCGCCAGCAAATGCCAGCACCGCATGCGGGTCTCCCGGGACCGTCGCGAAGCATAGAGTCCTGAGCCCCGGAAAGACGCCGGGCCCTGGGGTCCCCAGTGGGGGCCTGATGCCGGCGCCTCCTCCAGTAAATAAGTCGCCACTAATGAGTCCGCGAGGAGGGAAATCCGCCCACATCAATCAGGAGCGCGCGGAGGACCCTGACAATGAATCGTCCTGCCTCTCCCGGTTAAGGCTCGTTAAGCCGTCACGCGCCACCAAGCAAAATAAATGCCGCGCCGTGGGCAGAGGAGGGCCGCTTCAGGGGCGCAGCCACGCCTGGTGGGGGATAGGAGCAGATGCAGTGACAAGACCCGGGAGACTTCTTGAAAGAGGAGAGGTGTTGACACCTCTGAAGCAGGACTGGGCAAAGAGGAAGGGCACTGAGGGATGGAACAGCTGAGGCCAAGTTCAGAGACGGAAAACATCAATGAGCCTGGCTGGCAGGCGATGCTGAGGGGTTATTTTAATAATCTGAGTCCTTACAAAAGCCCTGTGAGGAGATCACCCCCTTTCACAAATGAGCAGCGAGGGGGAGTGACTGTCCCAGCTCTCTCATCCCCCCCCAACCCCGCCCCCCCGTTGGGCTAGGGGGTCCATCAATCCAAGGTCCTCTGCCTCCTGGGGGCTCCTGTTACCCAGGCCCCTTGGCTGACCGGCGGGGAAGGGGGAGTGTTGATCTCCGTTGCTGGACAGAAAGGGCAGTAGGAGCAGTCACTGCAGTGACATCTAGGACCTGAAATCCCAGATGTTCAGTTCAAGACGTGGAGATGGCAGAGAGGGTCCGTGACTGGCGCTGAGTGACGTCTGAGCTGGAAACGGCTCAGTGGATATCTCGTGCCTATGATCGTTCCCACTCAGACCAACCGAGAGCGGTGTTTCTTAACGCATCCGACCCACTGGTTATGAGTGAAGAGGAAATACTTACTAAAGATGAGGACTCAGAGCCAGGCCCACAGGCCTTCCCGGAGGAAGGAAAGGAACCACATCAGGGTGGACCATCATCAAAGAGCCTCCCTCTCTTAAAATCTGAGGGCCAGCACCTCAGAATCCACACAAAGAGGGGACCCCCTGGTGGGCTCCCCTCCCACTGCACCTTTGGCAGAGGGGCCCCGCGCTGCTGTGTGGGAGAAGGAGGACCCCAGGGGGACAGATGGACCAGTCCAAGGCCCACTCCTCCACGGGGCCTGATGGGGCACAGGACTTCCTGGTTTCCCCTCCCCCAAACCAGGGGCACAATCCTTGTCCCAACACATTGTATCACAGAGCAAAGCAGACAGGGGACCACAAGGGGGAGCCCCTCCCCTCAGGGCTCCACTCCCTCCCACCCCCTGAGTGAAGAGTCCTGCCTCCTCCAGATCAGGGGGCCCAAACCTGGATCAGCAACTGCTTTTAGAAGCTGCAATCTTTTCTCCAGCAAAAAAAACGCAAAAACAAAAACATCGACAGATGATTTTAAAATGATTCTTTAACCCTTACGGATCCAAGGCCCTCAGATGAGAACATCTCGCTGGGTAAATGCCAGGTTAACCTTTGTTTTCAGAGCCCTGGGCCCAGTGCCACCAGGAACACAGGAAGCTTGCTGTCCGAGTGATGGGGCTCAAAGCTCAGGCCCCCGAGTGCTAATGAACAGATCGCCAGCCACGAGGGCCTTAAACACTTCCCCAGACGTCACTGGACGTGGTCTGGGTGAATTAGCACAAATGGGAAAATCCTCCACTGCTTCGTGCAGAAAATCTCACATCCCCAGAAAAATACCCCCCCCCCCCCCAGCTAAACCCGTTACGAAATGTAAATGAAGGGTGTGTACATTCCCGACGGGTGTACTGCGTAAGCACAGACAAAAATCAAAAGGCTGACCAGAAGCAGGAGCCAGGAGGGGCCATGGACTAACGTTTTCCCTCTTTCCTTGTTTTCCAGAGCATCACGGTAATCAGGGGAAGAAAGTCCATTATGCATGAGTGTGACAAGGCTTGCCAAGAATTGGGTTCTGTTTCCCTAACCATTCATGGGATCAGCCTGACTTCCTTTATGTAATTTATGCTGAACTCGAACATGAAGTAATCACTCAACATTGGCCAGCATCAACACTGAGAGACAGAGAAGCCACGGTCCATGGAAGCCCTTCTTGACAGTCACATGGGAATTTAAGAGCGAGCCAGGGGGTCCTCCCTGACTTGACAGAGGGCCCCTCTGCCCCGAGACATCAAAACTAAAGCCTCTGACCGTCTCTAAACCTACCCGCAACTCTCCCACTGTTTCCTTCCCGCAAAGCTGCAAATACAATCGCATCAAAGAGCACTGCCCACAGATAGAAGGTGTCCAGTAGCCCTAACATGACAGCTGTCGTTTGTCCCTCATCTGTGTCTAGTTTTTGTACACTGATGCTTCGCATATTGGCAGGGAGTGCAAATGGTGACGAGAACAGATGCTGGATCACACTGGCTGCGATGGGATCATGGCTCTGTCAACCACAGGATCATGGCTCTGCCAACCATGGGATCATGGCTCTGCCAACCATGGGAATCATAACTCTGTCAACCATGGGATCATGGCTCTGCCAACTATGGGATCATGGCTCTGTCAACCACGGATGGGATCGTGGCTCTATCAACCACAGGATCATGGCTCTGCCAATCATGGGAATCATAACTCTGCCAACCATGGGATCATGGCTCTGCCAACCACAGGATCATGGCTCTGTCAACCTTGGGACAGTGGCTCTGTCACTCATTACCCTGTGCCTCAGTGCCACTGTGGTAAAGTGGGTTTAATAATCATATCTCCTCAGTAAGGTTGTTTTGAGAACTAAAGTCTACGTAGAGCTCTCGCACAGTGCCTGGCACAGGAAAACCACAATCAATGCTGGCTATTCTATTACTATTGATTCTACGCTTTAATATACAGTTTCACATTCCACTTGTTTCACTTGAAATTTCAGGAATATTTTTTGGATTTCTGAGTCTCGGCGCCTCTAGTTTTTAATGGCGCGAGAGCATTCCGCTTATTTCTAAGCATGTCCTTTGCGAAACCATTTCCTCTTTATTCACCATTGAAGGGTCACATTTTTCCAGAGGCTAAAAGGTGCAGTGCCTTGATCTTACCACACGGGGGCAAACTCCTTCTGCTCCCTCCCACCCAGAATGGGCACCCACCCGGCAGAGTTCCTGCCTTGACTTCATGCACGAAATCTTCATTGTATGGCTCCATGGCTCATGTGCCACTGGAGCATGTACAAAGGGGCTGAGCTACACCGGGAAACTGCTGAGGCTGTGAGGGAAAGTTCCTGTTGCAAGCTAGGGGTCCGCACAACAGCCTTAAACTTTCAGGTGCTTGCCTGTGACTAACTGCTGCCCACAACCGTTTCCCTATAGTTGGACACATTGGAGCCGCGTCACACACGCATGTTACAAATGCAAATGCAGGACTAGGCGCCTGAAAATAAACGAGAGACAATTCCCTTCGTTCACCCA